CTACTAAGAATTTATCTTAAACATTATTCATTAGCTTGAACTTCAGTTATTGCAAGGATGGGTAGTGGTGACCATTGTTTATTTTTAGAGCACTATTTTTCTTATATATATTTAGTAGAGATTAGAGAAATGTACCTTAAGCAGCGAGATTAATTGCAGCAATTATTTCTTTGACCAAACGTTTTGGTCTGTTTGGGCTGCTGCCACCAAACACCACAGACTAGGTAACTTACAAACAACAGAAATGTATTGCTCACAGTTCTGGAGACAGGGAAGTCCAAGATGAAGGTATCAGCAGATTTGATGTCTGCTGAGAGCTTGGTCTCTGCTGTCTAGAGGGTGCCTTCTTTCTGTGTTCTCACACGGTGGAAGATGCAAACCTACTCCCCTAGGCCTCTTTTAATAAGGGCACTAATCCTATTTGTGCCTTCATGACTTACCTCCCAAATGGTCCAACCTTTTAATAACTATCTCATTAGGGATTAGGTTTCAACCTATGAATTTAGAGAGGCCGAGGGACACAAACATTCATAGTACCAGAGAATGAAAGATCTAGCACACTGATGATATAATTTGACTGGCAAAAATTTGCTTTATACCTAAGTTTTTAGAAAACTTTTGTTGTATAAACAAAAGTATAGCATGTTGCCTCTGGTGTTCAGTACACTAATGTACCTTCGTATGAGGGGGAAACAAAACCCTGGAGGTGATTTTGAAGCTTTAACATTTTGGGAATGGTATAAGTTTTTGTTTGTTTGTTTTCTGAGTAGGAGTCTCACTCTGTCGCCCAGGCTGGAGTGCAGTGGCATGCTCACAGCCACCGTAGCCTCAGCCCGCTGGGCTCAGGCGATCCTTCTGCCTCAGCAGAGGAGGTAGGTGCATGCCACCACGCCCATCTAATTTTTTAATTTATTGTAGAGATGAGGTCTCACCAAGTTGCCCAAGCTGGTCTCAAGCCCCTGGAACAAGCAGTCGTCTCACCTCTGCCTCCAAGTGCTGGGATTATAGGTATAAACCCCTGCTCCCAGCCAGTATAAGACTTCTTTGTAGCCAGGCTTGGTGGCTCAGCCTGTAATCCCGCGCCTTTGGGAGGCTGAGG